ATGACACATGTTTCACACTTGAACTCTAAATCACTACAAGTGCGAAACAAAGAAGGAATAGATGCTTCATATAACTGAATGATGAATATCCCAATCATCGATGCCACAACCAAATTTGATGTCTGTCATCCATTTTAGCATTTAAAATTTAATGATTATTTGAACCGGAAATAACAGTATCCTCCATAGTCAAGATATACAAACCCTTATTCTTTTACCATGACCAATTATCTTCTGAGTTTGAATGTCTTGAAAATAACAATACGTAGGGTAGAAGTGAGCAGAACAATATAAGGTATCAAGAAGTTTTCCTATCGACAAAATATTGCACTTAACATAAGGAACAAGTAAAGCACGGACCAGTGATAAGGTTGGAGTCAAAGAGATAGTGCATTCACCCTTCACAAGGGAAAGTGTTCCATTTGCACTAGTAATATACAGATCACGAACATAGTCACATAACTCATCAAACACTCTAGGGTCACTAGTCACATGATCAGTGGCCTCAGTATCAATTATCCATTTATTTGTTCCACCAAGATGCATAACAACACTATGATTATATTGAGCCATTGAACAAAATCACGAACAATAAAGACATAAAAAAGACACAGCGGAATGAAAACAATTTACCAGAACATTGTAGCAATCACTGTTTACGGTATTGTAGCAAAGCGATGTACTGTAGAGCGACACTATTCAAAATTTTTTTTCCTCACAAAGGAAATCACAAAAAATGCAGGCACAAAATTAAAGCACACATGTCACTAAGAACGAACTGCTCTGATGCCATATCAAACTAAACATGGTAAATACCAATATTAAATTAAACATGGTAAATACCAAAAATATATGTGACAATATTTGGGAATTTCTTATATATTCATTAATCTCCAAAATAGAGTATATATAGGAGTTATAATTGGTATTACATATGTACTTCACCAATGTAAGACAATAAACTACTATTTACACTTTAACTAATATATAACTCGCAACAAATAGAAACGTGAAACTGATCAAGAAATTGTATATAGCCGGCTCTATCGTTGGGTTTTCTTTGCTACTGGCAGCTTTAACTGCATTTGTAATTTTGTATAGAAGGGCTTTGAGGAAATGGAAGAGAGAGAAGATCATGGGCTTTACTGCTTTAAACTCTCCAATTTCATGTTCAACTGTCAGAAGCCCGAATAAATCTGGTCAGACGGGCAGAAGCTCTCCAATTTCATCATGTTTATCACCGGGTATTCTTGCAGGATTGAAGTACTTGTTGTTCAATTATAGCATAGAAGAGCTGCGGAGAGCAAAAAGGGATTTCAATGAAGAAAACAAGATTGGCTCTCCAGTGTATAGGGGAATGATAAATAATGTTGAAGTGATGATCAAGCAGATGAGATTCGAGGGCACGAGCCATGTTATCAACGTGCATTCGAAGATCAACCACATCAACATCGTGAACTTAGAGGCAGTTTCTTAAGGCGAAAATCACATGTCATGGTCTTATCTAGTTTTCAAATTTCCAAGCAATGGCTGCTTGATGGGCTGCTTGTCTAGTCCATCTAGTCCTCTCAAGTGGTATTGTTTGGATTAAAACTTGACTTTCAGCTCAAGAAAGAAGTTGGCCCAAAAGGGGGTCCGGAAGGAAAGTCAGCCGAGGCCTGGCCGAAACCCAGGAAGGCAGAATGGGCTTTTTCTGACTTGGTACAGCTCATGAAGACCACTTGCTTACCTACCCAAGGGCCAAGTGGTATAGACTGATCAGCTACACGGCCCATAAAGTACTTTATGATGGCAGTACATGTAAAAAAGCTGATGAGTCACCACCCTCAAACCGCATTCGGGCAAGGCTGCTGCTACAGAGGGCCAAGCCGAGTTGTCTATATAAGAAGAAAGAGAAACCAGGAATAAGGACACTCAATCAAACAAACAAATGCAAGCACAAACTCTGCTCAAAGCCAGATTTGCCTTCAAAACAAAGCTGTAGTCAGCCTTCATCCCTCTCGGGACAAGCCTTCATCCCTCGCGGGATAACCCCCCATTTAAGCCTTTGTAATAGCTCTGCTACCTTGTTCAACCTTGCTGTAGTATCGATTCATCTTTTGTAATCTCTCTCTCTCTCTCTATCCCTCTAAGCTTTCAGACCCTTGACAAAACTAAAAAGATAGGAACCTACAAGACGAGCAACCTTACCTGATAAGGTTTAACCTTGCCCGACCTTCTTTGCTTTGTTTTTGTCTTTTCAATATGTTGTATACTTCCAGTTATATGCAAGTTATTTATAGCAATATGACTATTAAAAGGCTTTCTCAGTACTTGAATCCGATTTGAATATATCTTCAGTGTTCAAACCAGATCCAAGTCCTAAGCCCTCGGGCATGTAAATCTGATCAGTTAAAAGTCCTTGGCCTCAAGGCATAAAAAAGAACTTTATGTGGACTTAACCCATCCACGACAGTCCTTGATAAACGAGAAGTCCGAAGTTACTTGGGGCGCAAGTAATCGACCTACCCTCTAGTTTTATTTCTATTATATTATGATTACCATAGAACGCTTGAGCATGGAATGGATTCTGATGGAAAGCCTCAAGGCCTACACCTAAGGCCCCACAAAGGCATCCATTTGGATTCATTCCGTTCTGCGATCTAGAAAGTTTGAGTATAAGAACGAACTCTGATGGGAAGCACCAAGGCCTACACCTAAGGCCCCACAAAGGCACCTATTTGGGTCCATTCTATTTCTTGGACTCGGGTAATCAGAAGTATAATAGTTAGAAAACTCCGGCAATCACGAGAACAAATATGATGTGTTCGAGCACCGGTTTAGTTATTAATGGGAAGCCTCAAGGCCTACACCTAAGGCCCCACGAAGGCACCTGTTATAACTAACACGGTTTCTTGGATATATACATATATACAACTAAAACGCGACATCCATTTCACATCTGCCATGCTAAAGATGGCAGTGGCACGCTTGAGCACCTAAAAGTTAACCTTGATTGTGAGCCTCAAGGCCTACACCTAAGGCACCACAAAGGCACCTCTCAAAGTTAACGCTGTCCTTCTCTTTCAGCCTTGCCCGACGAGCCTTGCCCGAAGAGTCTTGCCCGACAAGACTTGCCCGACGAGACTTGCCCGACAACGCCCGACAGTGAAGCAGAAGCCCGATAGCAGCCTTCAATCGGCGCCAACCTCCAGGGGAGCTGTGTGCTCGTCGGCCAGGAAACATCCCCGACGGAAATTCCTGACGCGAACAGGTATCAACGAACGCAAATAACTTTCGATATTGCAACAGGACTTCACTACTTACACCGTTGTACTTTCCCTTCTTGTGCTCACCTAGACATAAACACTAGAAACATTTTTGTGACAGCAAATTGGAGGGCAACGCTTTCGAACATTGGAAGCATCTCTGATTTGGGATCTTCAGAAGGAAATGACAAAGGATGGGTTACACCAGAGTACCTTCTGCACGGATCAGCTTCTGAGAAGGTGGATATTTTTGCATTTGGAGTTGTTTTGCTTGAGCTCATCTCGGCAAGAGAGGACATTGATGGAAAGTTGTTTAAAGAGTCTATCAAGTTTTTGGGAGGGGGTGCTAGCGAAGGTGGTTTCCTCGATCAACTTAGGAGCTTCATAGATCCACAGTTGGAGGATTATCCTCTTGCAGAGGCCTTATGCTTAGCTGTTTTAGAGAAAGCTTGCGTGGAGCACGATCCTCTCCATCGGCCATCCATCGATGACATCATGAAAGTCGGTATGATTGGAACTTCATCGAGTTTATGGAAGTTAATTTTCTGCATCATTTTCTGTTCATGTTTTAGTTTATTCCATCAGTTCTAGAAAGGAGACAAATTAATTAACAAGTATAGAAGGCTATGTAATTGGAGGACATGACCGGTTCGATTCCATTTGGTCTCAGCTCACATCACATATTTACTTATTGTCTGAAGAAACTTATTATTTAATATATTTTAGATGCATTATCAGTTTCTGGTGACGCTAATAACTTGTTGCTTTCACTTGTTTGATACTCTACTTAATTCTAAATGTTTCCTGGACCAACTGGACTACTAGAAGCTTTTCAGCTTCACATGTTCTTGCTGTTTAGGGGATAGTGTTTTAAAAATGAATAGTTTATATATATGTGAGACAGTATATGAATGAGGAACTAAAGTCTTATGTAAGACTATATAAAATTTTGATACTTATTTTCACATTACTCAACATCAGTTGCGGATGTGTTAATAAGCTAAAGTTGACACTTGTTTTCACATTACTCAATTTGTTTTCATGAAGGCTATTGTAGGTTTGATTACAAATTAAAGATGTTGATACTAAGTATGTATATGTAATTTCTTTCGTTCGATGAAAGAAATAAAATATAGTACTTTACATAATTATGCTCTAAAATTAATATGAAATCTTTATGTAAAAAACATTAATCTAACATGGTCCGAGCCCCCAACTAGAAAAATGGGGGGAAACCCTTTATTTAGAGAGGAAATGGGAAAGGCTTTTTATATTAGCACCCCACAAATTGTTGAATGTACCTCATATTAAAATTTAATATTAATGACTTATTTACTCTACTATGTAATGATAATTTTGACCTTATTAGGTTTAAAAAATAATAAATTTTTTATAAATACACTACAAATCTCTTTTAACGTATTATTTATTTATTTTAACTATCAAAGTTCATCTCATTCTCCATTGTTGAATAAAATCCTAAGCAATGAAATTATAAACATGTTGATTAAGAAAAATTATTTTTGACAAATGAAACACGAAATCGGTGTTTCGAAAGCTTTGAAATCATTATTATTGTTATTGAAAAATGTTCAAATGAGTGTCATAAGATTTGAGAAATGTGGGATGTATAAAAAATGTGGGGTGTGTGTAGAAAATGTAAGATGTATATTAAGAATGTGGGGGTGTGAGAGTATTATAGGAGAGGAAGTGAGGTGTATTAAGATAATTTTTAATTGAAAAAGTAAATGTAAGATGTATTAAGTACGTAGAGTTTATTTAACAATTTATGATAAATGCTAATATAATAAACCAATGGGAAAATGGTGTACAAAATAAACACATATAATAAGATAGGAATCCTAGCGATCACAATTCCTTTATGGGTACCCTTCCTTTATTTAGACCAGACCCTGCGGACCTTTTCCGGGTTTCAAGACCTACACCAAGTGATAGATGGTGATACTTTAGATCCATAATATTCTAGCTAGGTTCAGTCCTCTTCCTCTTCTTTGGGTCTATAAACTTGCACTACCCGCCCGTTTCTCGGTTGTACTGGTCTTGCATTAGTTTTTGAGTCCTGCAAGATTTTCAACACAAGTCGGCTTATCAAAAACAATATTAATTTTTTCGATGTTTATGCATAAATGTTTTACAAGAAATAATTTATTTCGAAATAGTTTCGTGATTGAACTTACATCATGAACAGCTACGCGGAGGAATTCCACTTGTTCTTCTGAGACAGTCCTCACCTGACGAGTTAGAAATTAAGTGAGATATAAACAGAAGGGGTTTTTAGATTTTAGGGTTTCAATAAAATTGTTTTTAAATTCTAACTTGAAAGATTTTCAAAATTTAATATAAGTCCCTATTTTAAAATTTACCATATAAGTAATTATAGCACATCTATTATTTATGTTACCATTTGAAATTCTTTACTCTTCCATAATAAATGTATTTTTTTGTGCTCCAATCATATTAATAGATACAAATTTAATAAAAATTCAAACTCTTATTATTAAAAAAATTCAACAACAAAACAAAAACAATTTATACATAACTTTCGATACCTTATTTTATTCATAGGTACAGAAGTATCAGTATATAAGTTTCAGTACGAATGTATCAGTAAATAATTTTAGGCATCTTATTTTACTCATAGGTATAGAAATATTGACATGTAAGTTTCGGTACAAATGTATTAGTACATAACTTTTGGTATGAATGTGACGGTACAAATGTATCGATACGTAACTATAGTATCTAAATATACATATGTGCATAATATGCATATACATAAATATGGAGAAATTTAAGCACAATGAAAAATATATGATAAATAACATTTTTATTATTTATGGGAAATCAATGTATAACCTACACACAAAAAAAACTCAATAATTATCACAACCTATTTAATATTAAAAAATTACAATTAAATGCCAAGGATTAGAATTAGTTTTTAATCTTAGACAGAGTTTTATTCAAAAAGTAATCTTAGACAAGGATTAAAATAGAATTTTCTGTAAAAAGAACAGAAAACTATGTAGACACCAGAACATATTATCTAGGGTTTATTAAATAAGAGAAAAATAACCTCTTGAACAATTGTCCAGGTAACATTTTGTGTGCATGGAGGAATTGTAAGTGAGCCAATATATCTGTAATACTTTGTGCTCCTTGTTTTTATTTTCTTTGGATCAACCGTACCAACCGCCTCTTCCTCTTCACTGGTACCAGAAACTTCTGCCAAAGAATCCATCATCTAAGCACAAAAGACATAGTCAGCATAATTTCGACTATATTTTTACCGACCATATCCCTCACATAGGTGGATCCGCTTGAGACCTTACTTATATGCAACTGAGTTTTATTTATGTGAGAGATGCGGTCGGAAAAGTAGTCAGTAAATGTAGTTGCTCCAAGTTACGGTTTTAAGTATTTTACTGATGACAAAAATGGATCAGGAGCTCCAATCTTATAAAGGATTCCCGTTACAGCGATCTTGCCAGTTGAGCTCTCATGAACCAAATGCGCCTCTAAATCAAACCTCTTGCCATTGATGGTGTGTTCAGAAGACGAGTGCCAGTGGCATTGTTTCAGTTTATACAAAGTTCCGTTTAATTGTATAAATCCTGCGTCAGCTTCCCACTTCAACTGCATTGACAAATAACCAAACAAGCTATTAATATTTCGTAAAAATACTTTTTCCTCCTAGGGTTAATGGAAAATTAAACCTCAACAACCCCAACTTTACATGCACCCTTCTTGGTATTTTAAAGTGTAAGTGACACTAATTGTGTTGGGAGAATTTTTCAAATTTGATCTCTAGTTTTTTCCTTCTTTATCTTACCATCATATCATGGCCCCTATTCTTAAGAGTGGCATTGCAAGGCCTGTAGCTACCCTGAAGTATCCCAAAATTTGACACTACTTCAACCCTGTCATCTAACAGATCGATCGGTGACTGCATCGATCCCTTGCTGCACATGCTCCATTCTTGGCGTATCTCGCCCCATCGAGCCGGCCCCTTCTCACTGTCTTCCTTGTAATTAAACTCCCTCTCATCTTCTGCGCCATCAAGAATATTAGCAAAAATGATAAGTAAGCACTACTAACAAAATCCCATAACGGCACTACCCATGGCCGGAAACTAGACTAAAATTGCGGGAGGGACGTATGATATTATCTAAAAGGGCCTTTTAACCAAAATGGTATCTGAGATTGTCATAACTCTTTATTTTGATCTCTGAGATTTAAAATCAATAGAAGTGGTCCTGAGATTGTTCATCGTCAATTATTTTGATCATTCCGTAAAAAATTTCGTTAAATAAAAAAAAGCCACTAGTTCAAGTGGAGGGGTTGATTTGACTAAAAATATTCTCAATTTAATGGAGATTTTTCACGGAATGATCAAAATGATTGACAGTGAACAATATGAGGGACTACTTTTTTCAATTTTAAATCTTAAGAACCAAAATAAGGAGTTATGTTAATCTCATGAACTATTTTGACTAAAAAGTCCATCTAAAAAGAATAAGAGTGCATAACATTGATGAGCATGGACTACCATATACAGCAAATTTACAAGGAAACCAACAATTCAATTGGAACCATTGTCATCCTTAACCATGCCTAGCATGCATGTTGATATACATAAACTACTTTATAAAAATGGCTGAAAGCAAATATTTTGATTTGGAATATGCATTACTTTAACCACCCAATTTAAAGAGAGTTTAATGAAACTCTAATGAGAGCAATATTCTCTATTTTGATTCTAATAGTGAAAATATTGAGCATAGTAAAGTTATTACAAATAATTTATACCAACTTCATCAGATGATGCTTGGCATGAATTCAGCAATACCAGGACAATGAGGAAACTGCAAAATAAGATTAGGGTGGGAAACTTCTCCATTTTTTAGCTTCGAGCTGCACTGGGAGTCTGGGAGCATGGTGAATAGGTCCAGTTGCTTCCATATTTATAGGCAGCAGCCTGTAGTATGAATACAGAAAAACAAGTCTTCCGCTATCAAGATTTTCAAATAAAATTCCTTCTGGGGCAAAAGTTTCTCAGGTAGTTATATATGTTGCAGTTTGAAAGGAAGCATCCAGAACGCAATGGGGTTTGCCAGTCAATAGAGAATCCCTGATTCACTACATTAAAATATAATTTAGAAGAAGACCGTAAATAATGGTGTTGTTTTTAATGCTTCATTTCCAAAATTTTCTACAAAGTAGGCTATTTGATTTACGTCGTTGGTGACGATTCATGAAGTTGAACACTTAACGTTTCCTGGATGTTGGGTTAATAATGATGAGTTCGTTTAATATTTGTGTGGTAGTTAGTGGTTTTGAAGGCTATTTTGGAGGTTCTATCAAATTTTGTTTTATTTTTGTTTTTGGGTCTCCCGAAAGGGCCTAAATCACTTTTGCAAAACTTGCGGTTGGGGAAAGGTTGATTTTACATGTGGTCTAATATTTTAGTAGAGTTTTGAGTTTCCATTTATACGTTCTGAGTTCGAAACTTCTCTTTTATATTATGTAATAATTTTGAACTCTTCTCCCTTCTCATAATAATAATAATAAAACTTTCTTTTAAAAAAATGAGTTGATTTTCACACACCCTTTCTCACTTCTCCTTTTTTTATTTGTGGTCATTAAATTAAATAAATCAAGCAAAAACAATGGACAAGATTAGACACGGGTGCATGAGAGACTAAAAAAGTCAGTGTTTAGCATTTTCCTTGAGAAAAAAATATGTATCAAGAAGAATTAAACGATAATTTAAATAAAAATCATAGTCGTCAACCCGCATAAAGTTTTTTCTTTCTCTCTCATCATTTTTAATTTTCATATTAGCGAATAACAAGTCTTTTGATTGCAAGTCTTTTGTGGTAGTACCCAATCCAACAAGATCCTCTCTGGATCCTTTTAGTGAGGATTATGAGGATTCGTGAATCGCGTCCGTTTATCGTACATCGTACGGTCAATTTTTATTAGGTACTGTTTGTGTTTAATTTTGAATAAAAATATTTAAAATAATTTCTAACCGTATAATGTACGATGAACGGACACGATTCACGAATCCCTGAGATCCTCACAAAGAGGATCCGGATTCGTACCCATTCGCTTGTTTCGCCTGGCATTCCTCATTCCAATTCTTCCTTCAAACACTTTCTCTAAATTTAATTGAACCCCCGATTTGAAGAATTTTGTTGTGATTTTCTCATTTTCTTTTAGCCTTCTTTTTCAGATGACAACTTTTAATCGCTAATATGTGACTATTATACGTCATTATACGTATATAGATCAATGGAAACTGATTCTTCTCCAAATCCATTGTTAGTCTCTTCTTGGCCATAAGTGAACGGTTCTATGGCAGCGAAACTTCAATTTGTGGTAGTAATTATAATTTAGAGTTATGGTTCATTTTAGGGTTTTGGTGATTTTGGCCTATGAGGGCTCAAATACAGGTAATGCTAGATTTTGGTGTTATGAGTTTTTTTAGCTGATTGTGCAGATTTCATCCATTAAATTTAGTTCTTATGAGTTGTTTATGTAAGATTTGTGTATTTCACTCGTTTTTACGTATTGTTGATTTTTTTAATGAATGTTGTTGCTTCAAAGAAGAAAAAAAGAACTTCTCAACCACATATTTCTCTTTCTAATGCTCAAAGAGGTCGGAATTTTTGTTCCCCGACTCCTATTAATAAAAAACTACATTTTCTGTTGATTTATCCTACGAAAAAATATGTCTAACGAACGTAAAATCATTATTGTAGATCTATACGTAATTTGTGTGGTTGTTTGTGAATTATATTTTGTGTATATATGATCTTGTGCCTATAAACTGTGTTCGTGTTAAACTAACAATTTTGATTAAGACTTTTAAATTAATAGCCATGTGGACTGGTTTCTAAATTACCTAGTTGAATCATAGCGTCAGTTTTGAACTATATACGCAGGCCGCCCAAAGGGAGCAATTTTGCTCACCACTATTTAGTGTGGTGTATGCTTACCATCATATTTATCACCATTAGATGAGTTTCAATTTCGAGATTCGTGTAGTGGACATGAACAAATCTCAAAATTAAAATTCATCTAACGGTGATAAATAAGGTGGTGAACATACACCACATTAAATGGTGGTGAGCAAAAATGTACTCCCGCCCAAAAGGTCAAAGAGAACTTCAACTCCAACTCGCCAATGTTTTCTGTTGCATTGAAAAAAAAATCCTTAATGGAATGGTTGAGATAATAGTACTACTGTCCAAGACATTTGAAAGGGAAAGAAAATGTCAAATTTGGGGATAAAAAAATTAAACTCATGATGTATATTAAGTATGTTAATAAAAGTCTTGTTCCGCCACTACATGTATAGTGTATGTTGAAACTAAATTCCAGAAAGGAATATCAAAGATGATTAAGAGGAACTTAATGCCAGAGAAGGCTAATGTTTCATTTAGGAAAAAAAAAATATTATGAGCAGGCAAAACATTATTTATACTACTAATAAATAAAATTCTTCCGAAAAAAAGATCTTATAAAAACTAGGAAACAAAATAACAAAAGGATAATTTAAAATTACAATCCAAATCTAATTGGGAAATCTGCCCAGCTAACAATTAAACACGTTTCTGGACCTTTAGGCCTCCAAATCAGGCCCAAAATGACTTGAATTAAAGCTTAAGATGTCATCACCAAGTTTGTAGAAGATCCCAACTCCAAAACCATCATATTCTAGCCCAAAAAAACTGCAACTAAGCCATGCAACTTAGGGCCAGTTTGGGATTGATGTGTTTTTTTAAAAAACTGCTTTGACTGTGCTTTTAGAATAATCAGCTGTAATATAAAGCTGGCGAGCATTTGGTTAATTGAATTTTAAAAGTGTTGTGAGTATGAAAACCAGCGTAGAATCGTTTGGTAAAATTTAATACAAAAGTGACATATTTGTATACAATGACAAATGGACATAGTAGTAGGAGTGATGGCGATGACATTAGTGGTGCTAATGGTGGTGGAGGTGTGATGGTGGTGGAGGTGTGATGGTGGTGCTAATAGTGAGATGTGTTGATTGGGGTGGAGAGGTAATAATGGTGGTAGAGGAGTGGTAGCATCGACAGTGGCAGTTGTGGTTGCGATGACAATGGTGGCAGTGGCAGCAATGATGGTGGCAGTGGTAGTTGTGGTTGTGGTGATGGTGGTGGTGGTGGTTGCGGTAATGGTGGTGGTGGTGGTGGTTGCGGTAATGGTAGTGGTGGTGGCGGCATTGATGGAGGTAACAATGGTGGTGGTGGTGGTGGCAGTAATGATGATGGTGACAAAAGTGGTAGTGGTGACAGTGGTGGAGGTTGTGGTTACGATGGTGGTGGTAGCAAATATGGTGGTTGTGTTGGCGGTGATGGTGTAAGGTTAGTATTGGTAGTGATAGGTTGTAGCGTTTACCTTATTCTCTAAGGGATAAAATATGTGGAAGGTTAAATAATGTCCTTTAAAAAAATTAATGAAGGTATTACAATAATTGAAAATATTTATTAAGGACCCAACTCTACGTTTTATTAAAGCAACTTTTAAAAGCAACCTACAAGCTGTTTTTAAAAGCTGCTGTCTAGAGCCCATTGCTTTTAAAATAAGCAGGAGATTTTACTTTTACCAAATATTTTTTTATTGCTTAACTTTAAAGTGAAGCAATACCACACATGGCCTTAATCTACCAGCACAAGTTGAAAGACTTGCAAACACCCTCAAATTGGAATCATTCTAAAATTCATCCGTTTGATCACTTTTTGCTCAAGAGGAAGCCACAAATCCTACATTGGAAATATAAATCAAAGTATCAAAATCTCACCAAAATATGCTAAAAATAGGGTAAAATATACAATATAAAATGGACTCATCACATGTAACTAATTTTTTTTGTGCTACCTTGATAGGAAATCAAACACTTACATCTACTTAATCTCAAAGTGAAGCAATACCACACAGGGCCTCAATCTACCAGCACCACGTTGGTCCCTTATTTATTTTCCATAAATCAACAACTTGTCATAAAAATCTAAAACTTTGACACAAACAAGTTGAAAGACTCGCAAACACCCTTCAATTGGAATCATTCTAAAATTCATCTGTTTGATCACTTTTTGCTCAAGAGGAAGCCACAAATCCTACATTGAAAATATAAATCAAAATATCAAAATCTCACCAAAATATGCTAAAAATAAGGTAAAATATACAATATAAAATGGACTCATCACATGTAACTAATTTTTTTTTGTGCTACCTTGATAGGAAATCAAACACTTACATCTACTTAATCTCAATTCATTATCTCACCGCTTGAACTGCACGAGCCAGGTGCGATACTTTGAGTTGTGGGAAGATATATGCAAGCTTATGTTTTAACCCTTTAACACGCCTGAAATAATTTCATGTTTTTTAGGACTCTGAAATTAATAAGCTTGTCATATTTATTTCGTATAATTTTCCTTACTAGCAAATAGATATTGGTAATACTTTTCTTCCCCATGTTAACAAGAAGTCCAAAGTTTGAAATGCCCCAACATTCCATTGGTAAAAAAATAAATTTGTTTTCCCTTGCTGAAATTGTGCTCTAATTAATCAGACGGTTTCAACACAGGAATTGGATCCTCTCCTGAGCAAGAGATCAGGATCCTCCTGACCCAATAACACGGGCTGTTGGATTTTGATCCGATGGTTACAAACAGGGGGTTCCTCTAAAATTTATAATAATTGTAGCCGTTTGATCAAAATCCAACGGCGTGTGTTAGTGAGTCAGGAGGATCCTGATCTCCTACTCAGGAAAGGATCCAATTCCTTCAACACAACTTAGTTGGTTTACAAACGTCATAGCCGGCTGACCATTGACCCACAAAAGCGATGCGTTTTCAATTTTGGTACCCCAACAATAGCTACGTTTTCAATTTTGTCTATTGTTTGTCTATTGGG